TTAAGTCTGTAACAAGGCACTGATCCTACCTTTAGCCCTGTGAGCAAAAAGTTTCTGTGCCCGTCTACAGCTGCACTGACCACAACAGGGCGTTTACGATAGCAGGATCAGGGACTTGTTCTTTAGCTTGCTTGTAATAAAATAAATGGAATGGAAAATGTAGTGAAATAAACCAGTAGAAACTCACAAACAATTTTTCCCTTTTAGAGGGCTCATTGACACTAGGCTGCAAAATATGACTGAAGGCCCATGTCAGAGCCTGAGTGATGCCCCGTGTGGTTCATGTCACCACTAAGTAAACAAGAAGGGGCTTTAGGTCTTGCATCGCCCTCGGCAACTGGGCTGGAGCGGGCTGAAGTCACTGGACATCTCACCAACAATTTCACTTTCAGTAAGCATTGGACCAAGTTCTGAACTTAGGCGGTATGGTCTGCAATTTGCTTTGATTCCTTCTTCGATTAAAGCGATTTTTATTACTCTAAGTATGTCTGTATTTATGATTTGTATATAAACGTGTTATACTTGTGTTACTGGTTCTGAAGTACAGGATAGACTACAACTACTAGAGATATTACTGCATCAATGTATTGTATCTGGCACTGCTTACAAAGGCTGCTGTTTCATGGTCACAATAATTGGTGTTTTATGCTCTTTTTTGCCTGAAAACCACCTGAATATTGATCCCTGAGGTACTGTTGCTCGCAACTAAAACGTTGTCCTGCATTTTTACTTTCAGGAGAGAAAAATGAAATACACTCAAGTCTTGAAGTTCACAAGTTGTTAGACCATGGATGTTCCTCCAAACAAATCCACAGACCAACGCTTGCACTCGGGGAGCCACTGCGTAATTAACTTCCGCAGGAAGCCCTATTCCAGCAGCCACCCCATGCTGGGGGCCTGGCACTACGCAGCCCAGCTCCTCCCGCTTTGCCCTTCCTCATCTTCGGAACGAGTAAGTGTTCAGCCTGGAAATACTTTCTCCTGGGATATGGAATAGATCTTCCCCCTCCTTGTCTCTCCTGCAACTTGTGCTCAACACTTTTATTCCTACTACCCAGCTTGGCCCTTTTGAGTGATTCTTTTTGCATGCTTTGGCCCTTATCTTGTAAGTAGAAGCTTGTATTAGTTTACTGTGAGATTCTGGTGAGAGGTCTCTTTTGGAGCCAGCCGCTCTTAGTTGAGTGTTATCAGTGAGCCCAGACATAAATCATTTGTGACTCTGAGTTACAGAAGGTCTCTAAGCATGAGGGGCTTCCATCTCATCATAGGCACAATTTAGAGAGGCTCCAAAATTACCCAAGTTTTTCTTCTTCCACTAACTAGGTGAAAATATTTTCCTTAAAGTGTTCACTACACAGAAGTAGCGTTCAGGAAGAGCCAAATTCTGCTCGCAGCTGCCTACGCCTAAATCCGTACCAACCTTTCTGGTTTTATTTCAGTACATTGGATTAATGCATCACAACATAAAACACAGACTTCAACCCTGGCAGACTGACCTTATCAGCAGTGTAACTCTCCTGACTTTAATAGTGAATCCCATAATAGCATTTCAAGCATCTCTGGTGGTTGTCACAGGTCCCATAATGCTTGATAATTTCTATAAAGTTTGAGTTCCCCATGGCTTGTGTGAATGCAACAAAACTACAGCTTTATTTAAAATAATTAGGGAAAAAACGGTTCTGCTAGTGGACAGAAAAATTTAAAAGTGTGATCCCAAGGTTCAAAAAAAGGGAAATAAATAGGACCCAATTAGTTGTGTTTATATCTTGTAGCTCTTATGTTGGAACAGCTGGAGTATTGTTGAGGTGTCATTACATTAGGGTTGACTGGCTCAGTGTTTAAGTACATGTGAGTGGGTTAAATGCGATGTCTAAATATCATATGTGTATGTTTTAGGAAGAAAAAAAAAGTAACAGTGTAAGTTGGTTTTGGTCTTATCCTCAATTTTTTTAATGCCGGTTACCACATTTGACTCCAGTGGAAAACCTCAGAGTAAAAGCCCAACGGTACAGTAGGGCCATCGGACCTGTGTAAATGCGTGTGTGATGAGTCACCTCCTGAAGCAAATGGCAGTGTGACAGCCAATTTCCAGTGTAAATGTACCCTAATTTGCCACTGTCCCTTATGTGCCTGACCTTTTTTTCTCCCCTACACATATAGCTTGCCTGCAGCCTAAGTCACCCACCAGGACGCCCACTGAATTCAGCGCCGCGTTCCCCGTGCATGCCAGCGGTACACATGCACCACGTTTTGAGGAGGTCGCTCAGGCTGGTTTCTGCACTGGTGCTGCTTCCCAGGCAGTAAGGAAGGTGGCCCTCACCTGCCCGGCCCTGACTGGTGGGGTGGTGGGCACACTGGGAGCAGGTGCTGGGAATGGTGCAGAGGTACCAGCGAGGGCTTTGGGAGGATGGGGTAAGAGCAGGTGAAATTCTTGCTCTGCTGAAGTCAGTGTCGGTGTTGCCATCATTGCCATCCAGTATGCACAGATGTGGGTTTGTTTCTCTTAGGCAATTAAGGAAAACTGTGTATGAAACACAGTAGGTTGTTTGCAACCCACCCTGTTTTCTGCCTGTCTTATACGTGTCTCTGCACTGCTGTGGTGTGGTGTCACTTCCTATTGATAAAGTTCATGGGGCCTTTAAGTCATTAGCCATAAGCCTCAAATTAGCAGGGGATGTGTGCAGTTCCTTCCCCTCTGCTCAGATAAAAGGCAGTCAGACACACCGGCTCTGTTCAAAGCAGAGCAAAGCCTCCACTGACTTCGCAGGGTCCAAGATTCCTGCTCCAGCTTCAGCTCCAGACACCGGACCACTTCCACCCCCTCTTGCTTTATTTGAGAGACCTAAGACACACAGGACTGAGGGTCTAAATGGCACAATGGTGGGCTTCTACCAACGCTTCTCATCTAATTGCAGTCAACTCTAATTTCGCCTTTTCCACTCTTAACCGGACCTCTTAACCTGCTTCTTAGCCAGGGCAAAATTAAGCATGAGGAAAAAGGCTTATTCAGCATTATAATTATCTACTCCCAAGCTGTATAACAAAATGGTTTACACATTTAATTGGTTTTGTCTAATATTGCCACGTATACAGTAGTCCTATTAATGAATACCATAGCTTCATTACTGCGTATCGCATTTTGCTATTTGTTGTGTACCATAAAATAACATCAGCACATCAATAACTTAAATAACACAGATGTAAACTCATTTTCTGCTTGTTATAATTATGATTTTAGCCTGAAAAGGCTTTTTGATTTGTAAGACCATTGACATAACATGGAATGTAACTTTATTTGTTTTTCTGTTGTATATAATGAGACACCGAAAGCCCTTGTCATCTCTTAACAGGATACTAAAGCAGCTCTGTTTCATGAACGACAGCACAATTAAAGCTAAAAATCATAATTAAAAAAAAAAAACAAACCCTTTGTACTGTACAATCTCAAATTAAAGCAAGAAAAATAATGACAATCTTTTGCATTAGCCAGGAAACGTGATTCTCTGCCACTGGGCTTTTTTTTCTTGTTGACAATTCACAGAATGTGTATATGGGTGTAGTTATAGGTGTGTGTATATCCTATGCAGAACAGCAGTCCCTATTTTGTTGATCTAGTTCTTCTAATTGTTTAGTTAAACTACCTAACTGATACAATTTAGAATACTACATTAACACATTTAACATCAAGTTTACATACTTGCGTCTTTGAAATACTAGGAACTTTTACACATTTTATTTGGCTTTGTAAGGACTGGAATATCACAGATAATGCAATCTACTTGTCTTTGAAAGAATATGGCTGTTCTCAACTAACTCTCTAAGGTTCAGAGTGAAATACGTTTCTCCTTATATCTGTAGCTGACTTCAGAGAAGAAAGCGGGTCTTCTTAAGTGGTCAGTCTGATGTTACAGTACAGATTCTGCAGAGAGAGATAGATATTTAATGAAGGACAATTCTCTCTGGACTTTAGAGTTAAGCTGTTGCAGCAAATTACTCCATTTAGACTAATTTTTTCTATACAAATCTCAAGAAAAACCTATTCCAAGTATGTTTTGTAGTAGTATCTCCACATGACCAGAGGAGGGCACTTTGAACATCTTTGCACTGCCCAGGAGGCAGATGCAGAAGCACAGTGTTACCCAACGTCGCACAGTCCTGCCACCTCTTCCCACCCAGGCAGGTATCCTTATGTCCACAAAAACGCAGAATCCGTATTGTACCACAGGGCTCTGTTCTGAAAACAGTGGGCAGATACATCACTCTCTTCTCGCTAACTAGGATTTCCTCCGATTTCCCCCAATTAATTCAGTGTCGCTGCGGGTTAAATTGAGATTAATGGATAATTCCTAAAAATCACACGAGGGGAGTTGTCTCCCTCTCCTTCCTGAACATCCCTCTGCTATTAGCCCCTGGTAATTTAGCAAGTATTGATTGATTTAACCCTCTATGACTTATCCTGCTGCAGAAATTCCTTGCCTTTAACTGAAAAATGCACTTGGAAAATGCACTCTCTGAGATATGTATTGCAACAGTGCATCTTTTCACATTAAACTCTTGTAAAAGTACTGCTCCTTTCCGCCTTCTGAGGGAGGCGACTCTGCATCCCAGGTCTGCTCCCCCAGCAGAGTACATAGCAGAGAAATCAATCTCTTCTCTTTTCCGTTCGTGACCACAGTGTGGAGTTCAGCCACTCTCCATGCAGGAAACTTCCTTCTGGGTTTCATTTTGGCTAAAGGTATCAACCTTCTATGGAAAAAGATTTTAATTTTTCAATCTTACTGTTATCATAGACAGATTTTTTTGTCACCTCTCTGCTTTTCTTTGTTCAAGTTTAACGCTGAAAAATTATTAGAAATTATTTAGAAATTTTTTGTTTTTTTAAATAAAAGTCTCTTCTCCACCCAAGGGAAACACACTGCTTATTTAATGTACTTCTTTTTCCCTCAATATTATTCCTTTTCTCTTTTCTTTTCTTCTCTTTTTTCTTTCCTTTTTTCTTTTCTTTTTTTCTCTTCTTTCTTTTCTCCTTTCTTTTCTAGAGCAGACAGGTACAAGAAGGAAGTTGTCTTTCATCAGCAGTCCTTTGAGATAGAGTAGAATTCAGTGAGTCCTCACCATGATAGGATCATAAACTTACTGGGTTAAACCAAGCTAACTTTCCCTAAGCTGCCAAGTTTTAGCTGCACCATACATATATGTGTTTCCTTGTGCCATTTTCTTTTCTTATAATTTTGTTTTTCTGGATGACCCTGAGCTATGGCTTCTCCTTTCTACCACTAGTCAACCTTCCTTTCTTTTCTGGTTTTGCCGATATAGGCCTCAAAGAAAAAATGGCAGAAGAGCACGAAGTAGCTGAGGTACATGAGAGAGGACCAGATGATGTTCTGCACGTGGGAATGGCACTGGCCCTGCTGCATCCAGGAGAAGACCAGGTAATTGATCACGCAACCGATCAACATCTGAGTGATCTGCGACAAGGTGATGAACATGGCAAACTTGCGTGAGACTCTGAAGCCAGCAGCCCGCAAGGCATAGTAAGAGTACATAACGGCGTGTACTCCATAGTTCATGGTCATGAACCAGCCACCGCCAGCCACCATGTCCTTGTAGGAATACCAAGAATAAAGTAACACAGTAATGTGATGGTACCAGTGTAAGAAGATGAGCTTCTGTTTCCTAAGAATAATGAATATTGTATCACCTGTAAAAAAAAAAAAAAAAAAAAAAAGGAGGGGAGGACATGAGAAACATATTGAACAATTCCATAATTACCGCAGTGCTCTCTTCCCTTTGCCATTGCTGCTGGACTATACATTCTTTTTCAGCACGAAAACCCACCTCAGCTCTAGATCTGAGAGCCTATCTGATCCAAGAGCCAGCTTGGCCCCTAATCTCTATGCAATCTTTGGAAAACCAACATATCCACATTTTCCTGTGTATATAGTCCCTGTTTGAAAACTCCATAGGTTTACTTGGTAGCTCTTTGCTGCAAATGTAATCCACGAAAGTCTGAGGTGAGGTAGGTGGATGTACGTGTGTCACCTCTGACTGTGAGGTTGTCCATTATATACTGTGACCAGAAGAGACATGTAGCTCAACAGAGAGCAGAAAACCTGAAAAGGATGCAGCAGTGTCCTCCGCTTCAAATGCCTACCTGCAAACTGAACTGAGTTAAACTCAGTACAGCCTTGTGAGCTACTGTGCAAAAAGCTATTGCATATGCAACCTACAATACCGAAAGGTATGTAATTGCCAGAAAAAAGGCTTCTAGAAAGAAATTTGGTTTATGTTGAAATGCACATCCTTTTCATGTTGCTGTTGTAGAAACGTAAATTTCATTACTCTTTCCTGCTTTTTTCTTCCTTCTGTTTCTCATGATGCACTGAGCATCTCAACTAGAGAGAAATATATATATGTATGCTACTTGTTTTCTATTGCTATAGACACAGTGTTTCCAAAAAGATCCCTGAGATTTGCACCTGGGGACTTAGTTCTACATATACGTAACCCGGGAAATCCAAATCATGAATATTAGTGATGGATGGAACCAAAACTGCACTGTCTGCACAAGGGCTGTAATAAGCTGTAATGCTACCATTTAATTCATTAGCTGCAAGATGTTCACTCACATTTTAATAAGTAATCATATGTTCAATTTATTGTTACTGTGCAGTTCTAGCTGATGTTTTCCAGTTTTAACAACTAAATTTCAGTGGTTTTGAAGTAATTTAAGCAGCAGGAAACCAATGGATTCTGACACAGCAAGGCAACTGGTATCTGTCTCTTTCCAGTTTTTATGCTGATGAATTGCTGTCCTGTAATTTGCTGAATCAAATTCTCTGCTAAAAGGTGAAGACTTATTTTTGCTGTACGTCTGAACACAGTGAGTGCTGCAGCCCTTTGAGGTTTAGTAAGGGCGTCCTCTAAACTGAAAGCTGGAGGGCTGCTAAATCGCTGCCTCCTCCTTCCCATTAAAACAATCCTTTCTTACACTAATAAGCCACAGGATGAGAACACATGCAGACTGGCTATTAAGTTGGCTTTTTCATGTATATCACAAGTATCCTTATCAAAAAAATTGCTGGAGACACAGGAGTTTATAAGAACCAGGGCTGGAAAAGCTACGGATATTATGGGAAATTGGTTTCTATTTGGAGGAAGCAGACAGCCCCAGCTTTCAATGATTAGGGAGGAAGCACATTGCTGTTCATAATCGTACGCCTACATGTGTATTTAAGGACGAATGCTTTAGAATCGAGGCAGAACCTGACTCAAAGCTTGTTGCTGACACAGCTGCTGTAGCCTAGCCTTCACTTCTTACCCACAGGGCGAGCAACTGCTGATTATGCTACTCGTATTTGCCTACGAGTAGCTAAGGAAGAGGTATGGACCAGATTGCTCTTACCTCTAGACTGCCCTGCTGTGTATCATCATTGCAGTTTATTCCTGGGCTGGGAACGGTCTTGTTCAACTGCACATTGCTCTGACTTCAGCCAAGCTAGACTTAATATCTAGAGACTAAAACATGCAGAGTTTGGGGTTGGTTTTGTTTATTCAGTTTTTTCCTAAGACTAAAATGAGGTTTCGCCAGCACTGAGGCCCTTCTTGTGCTTCCTGCACTGACATTTCTGCTCTAAATTTGTGCATAGTGAGAGAAAGGGAGAGAGGGTACTCACCTAGTTCGGGTGCTTTGCTTAGCACAAATGCATATGCCCAGAATTTGCTGACAGGTCCAATGTAAAAACTCTGGTCACACACTGACTGCTTCAGGCCTTTGGTCATCAAAATGTACAGCATATAAGCACCAGTTCGAACAGCACCGAATATACTTTAAAACAAAAAGAGAAAATCAAGAAAGTTGAGCGGACACTTGAAATCTACATGCCATCACTTCAAACAGTTATGAGAAGGCGGCCATAAATGTGCTGAAATACTAAAGCTGGAGCAACTCTGCTGGCTTCTAGGAAGTTATTCTGAACTCAGATTTGTAAAATGGACTGCAGCTGTATCTCCCAGTGAAAGTCTGGAACAGTAATGTCAATGGTTTTTATTTCATTACTACCGGAATGATCCTTCAGTTTTCAGGAGCAGTGGAAGACGTCTACATCAGCTGAAAACAACATGTGGAGTTTTGATGCTGACAGCTGGGAGACGACAAGAAATGAGTTGCTAAAGGGCTGTCATCAACATCATCAAGCCCAATTCCCTCTTCTGATTTCCTCAGGGTTCTCTCTTGTCTTGTTTGTTACACCCACAGGAGCTCTGCCCACAGACAAACCCAGGCAGGGCAAATAGATTTTGATGGGGGGGTCTCAGTCAGGGCTGGTGTTTTGGTGCACGTGCTGACTTCACACGTCATCTCTTAACAGGTCATTGCTAACAGACAAATTGACTAGTTGAATGGAGTCGTAAACAGCAGATTCACCCTCACCTCATCAAAGTGAGATGCAAGGTAACAGTGTTCCATAAATGAGAAACATCAAGAGATTTGCACTAGTATTAATTACTGCAATTACAGAGGGGATAGGTTAAGATAACAAAAGCTGATGTAAGAAACAAAGGCTTCTGTCTCCACATCAAGGAGCTCTGCAGACGGAATTGCCTCACTGTTTTACGGCAAGAACATGCTTGCCCATTTTCTACCATTGTAGCTTGCTGGCCCTTCAAAAGTTGTGATGAATACTGGGTGAAACAAGCAGCTTTCAGGAAAATGGAGCAAAGAAAGACCCTATCTCCTTTGGGGTTGAGTATATCTCACTTCATGCCTACATTGTTATGTCCCTGTGCCTCTACCCAACTCCATCTTATCTCCCCTCACAACTTTTCTCCTCCTCCACAACTTCTTTGTGACCTTGTCCTACTCATGAATCCTTTGGTTCCTGCTCTGCCTTGGTGTTTTTCGTGATTATCACATGGCAGCAAGCAAACCAAGCCACCTAAAATTGATGTGTAGACACATGTGGGCAATGCAAGCTACCATTTATGCAAAGTGTATGAAATAAGGAACAGTTAATCTGAGGCTATAGATTCTCTGATACTTGTCCTTGTCTTGTGAAGTCAGTATTCTTTAAAATCATCAACGCAGCCTCAAAAGTTGAGGTCTATGGCAGTTCTTACAGCACTTGGTCAGACCAGATGGTTCAAGTAAGCCTGGTGAGCATAAAAACTGTTGACCTAAGTTTTGATTTTTTTTTGCCCAAAGTGTTTAGATTTCCAAATCTGCAGCATTGATATACCCAGTCAAACCTGCTTGCTCCTAAGGAGCAATGCACCTTGCTCTCCCCTGTCTACTGCATGCACTCCGCAACGGAGTGGAGTACCACAGTGCCTGGTGTTCCTCGGGCTCTGTCAGTGGTATCACAGATGGGGCTCTACAGCCAGGTCACACCCGGGGAGAAGTGCTACATCCTGGCTCCTGCACCATTACATTTTGATGCCTGAGGTTTCACTGGGCCATCAGGAAATTCAGAGAACAGCGAGCACTTAAGAAGCTACTATTATTATCTGCTATTTGTATGGTGGCACTTGCTAATGGGGTCTGCTGCCACATGAGCCCTCTTGTGCTACGTGCAAATAAAAAACCATCCTGCTGTGGTACAGGTGTACCAAAGCAGTTTAGTTGAGTCTCGGTTTACCATGAGCACTGCCCAAAGCAATGCACATATTCCCAGGCTGAGGCAAGACAGCCGTCACAGTCTCTCACGTTCATCCACCCCTGCATGCAGAAGAGATAGTGTGCAGTATTCTTGGCATATACGCAGCCCGTAGTGCATCCTCTCCAGGTAGGGTTGCTCCCTCCCAGAAATGCTCTCTCAGCATGCTTTTTCATGCCTCTTTCGGGGATCGGTCCTTTCAATTCAGCAGAGAGTGCCAAAGCCTGCAGGAGGAGTTTTGAAACAAGGTGCAACTCGTTCTGTGTCTTCTCTCTGGCATTTAACACATGCCCCTTTTTTTTTTTTTTTTTTCTCAGGAGTTGCATTTCTCATTCCCAAGAAGACAAGATATCCCGACAGAGATGTGATCCGATCACTTTCTGAGGCAGTGAACTCCTCAAGCTAGCCAGGGCAGGCTGCTGCTTGCACTTATGTTTTGGGTGGTGGCAAAACTGGGTGGAGAAAGATTAGGCAGAATATCTAATGATATGCTGGTGATCCCATGAGCAAATACCTCAGTGGTGACATTAAAATGGGGGAAAAAAAGGAAATTTTAAATTATGAAATCAAATAGCTGCAAGCAATACGCCTTTCCTCGTACAGAAGCTGTATTGCTTTTCTAAAATATCATTTATTATTAAAGTTTTAAAATCAAAGAGAATTCTGTGCCACGAGCACAAACTCAGATGCGCCTGTTTGAGTAGCAGGCAAACGCTGACCTAACTGTAAGTGATTGAGTATGGACCCCTAGGGATTTAATCGGGACTGGTAACAGAGGCAAAGAGTATTTGCCCTGTGGGGATTACAGAGTTTCACTTTGCTGTCCTTGAGATTATAATGATGTAATTCTTCCAATCTTTCTGTTTAGCAACTACTGCAGAGCTCTCCTTGGAGTGCACGCACACGCACATGCACACGCACACTTACATTCACACTCACACACACTTACTTTTCTCTAATTTCGCAGCACGGTGGCTTCCTTTAGTTTCATGACTCTAGAAGAAGTGACTCCAGATACTGCTCTACATTGTGTGAGTCAGACTAATCTGAATTTTTTATCAGTAAATACCAACTTACATTTTCACATAACTCACAAGGGAAGGCTTTATAAATAAGGAGGATGGCAAACTGGAAGTAACTGATTCAATTACCTAAACAGACGCCATGAGCAGGTAGCTGTTTATGAGATGTGCTGCGTGCCAAAACACTACCGTGCCAACAAGCACACACCACCAGAGACAGAAAAAGATCTAACACACGCCTGCAAATGTGCCTTGGACCCACAGAGCCAGGACTGCTTTTTGTGCCTCTGCCACTTAATCTTGTTTGTTCTGTAAGGTAAGATCAACCAGCAAATTTCTATCTTGCAAAGACATGATGTGCAGCAGAGTGATGACACTGCTTGCTCAGTAAATCACTTCTGCTTCATTTTGTCCTCGCCCTGCTCGCTGCTGTAGCTTTTGTGAGGTATTGAAATGAACTGCTTACCAAAGCAGTCTGTCTGGTGGGAATCATCTGCAGGGATTTTAGAAATAAGGTAGCAGTGAATTACTGTACAATTACAGCCTTTTTACAACTAGAGAGACTGATCAGAAACAGACTGCACTGGCTAATGCAGCTTTCTCATCTATTCAGACTCAAAATGTCCTACATTCTCCTCCCTTCAGGCAGTGACTTCTCTGGTAGATTAACAAATGCTCAATTGATATTTTACTGTCCATAACATGACCAAAATGTTTCCCTGAGTAAAGTAAAAACTAACACTTCTTCTTCACAAACTTGTTTTCAGATGAGGACCTCAAAACACGTCCCATGCATGGGTTAGATGCTGCATTAAGGAGGGAAACTGAGGGCTGGGGAGCTAGCTGGTGGGAAGACAAAGCCAGTGTTAGTGGCCAAAGCCTATTACTGCTTTCTGTTCCCTCCATCCTACTTACCAGGAGGGAGTGAAGTACTTGTTTCTCAAAAGCCTGAGATGGCAGCAGGTAGCTCAAGGCTTCAGTTCAACCCCAGCTGCCATCATAGCAGGCCCAGCTCCTCCTCACAGCAAGGAGGACACTGCTCATTTTTGCTAGGGCTGCTTTCTATGCAGACCCATCACTGCACTTGGCTCCTGACACCTCTGGACATCCCAGTCCAGGATCAACACTGCAGAATTGAGTGGGGAATGTGCCTTCCACATTAAAAATAAAAATAAAAATTAACAGTTCAGCACAGAATACAGCAACATTTCCTAAAGGATTTCAGTGCTGTGATAATCACAGAGTGGAAATTCTCTGCTCTGGTTTGCATCTTAAAAAAACACTTTAACTTACCAAACACAACATGCAAACTGTATCTGCAGAACTAGGTCAAGATGGCATAGAAGGGTGTAACATTCTCCACTATAGCTAAGGTGAATGCAAAATATGTTAGCTACAAGCTATATGGCAAAAGTGAAGTATCTTTATTTTCGAAAGCATGCCATCCTGTGTGCATAGCACCAGCAGAGAGCAGCAGGGAGCCTGAAGCCAGCGAGACCCAGCTGTGCTGCGCAAAATTAAGGGCCGGTAGGGACTTCAAGCAGAGCACTCCATACCCAAGCCCACAGGCTGTTCAACACTGGCCCAAATCACTGACGCCCAGCTGGTTTGACCAGTCTCTGAGGTGCCACGGGTGTGCTGGGCCGGTCGGGCAGCGAGCTGGCCAGGCACACAGCTGGAGCTCCTGTGGGTTCAGCTCCAGCTCCCAGCCTGGGGCCAGGCTGCAGAAGAGAAGAAATCTTAGTTCTGCCCTGACCTGCTTACATGGTGACTCACAGTAGTCCCAGTAGGTGAGTCTGTGCCGCGGGAGCACAGGGAGGTGGTGGAGAGCACATGGTCCTCCTCCACAAAAGCCATATTGAACAGAGGGTGGTCCTGGGAGAGCAGCCAAGATCCCCTTACACGTGGAGTCACAGCCCTCAGACTGCAGCCTGCTTGCACCGTAACGGTGAGAAAAAAAGGGGAGCAGGTTCTTTCCTTGTTTTTTTTTGGTGTGGGTTGTTTTTTTTTTTTCTTTTTAGCATGCAAAATATTTCCAGAGGAAGCACTTTGAATTAGAAAGAACTGTTTCAAGGTCAGCAGGTGAAGAACATGAAGCTTCCTACACCTTCCTTTGTGACAAATCAAACCGCATTCACCTTTCCGTTCTGTTC